TAGAAACTTAAAAGTTAAGTGTACAAGTAAATTGAAGGAACATTGTAAGGTGGGGAGAGAATAAGCTATTGTTTTTATTGTTTTTTGAATGAAAGTTTGTAATTGTTAAATTATAATAAAATTTAGTTGATTTGTATACAATAATTTTGATTTATACATAATAATTTTATTTATGTTTAAAAATGTTGTACTATACAATCTAATAAAACAAAAATTGGTATGTATAAATCATCTTCCATAATAAAAAATTTATTGGTGTGGTTAACCAAAAAATTCCAAATTTTAGCAGCTTCTAAAGAATTAGAGTTTATATATATGGTTTCATGAAAAAATGGGAAAAGAAAACCCTAACAATTTCCGATGGTCAAACGTAAATGAAATTTGATGGGTAGACCGAAAATTTCAAACTATAATGATTTTGACAAAATTTGACAGTAAAATTAAACATGACGTAGTTATAGAAATTATTAAAGTGTAAACTGTAAATATATGTTCATGTAATCATGTATTCAACTATTCAAGTAAGGCCAAAGGGTATGAAACATTGAAGAGGTGAGATGGGAACCGCACCCCGGAACATCATACCGATGCTTCAATTTAGGGGTACGGGGTAGATGTGAGAGGATGGGAACCGCACCCCGGAACATATATATATATATATATATATATATATATATATATATATATATATATATATATATATATATATAGTGAAAGATGACCAATTCATGGTTTTTGGTGAATAAAAGGTAAGTAAAAGGAAAACTAATGTGACATTTAAAAAGTGAGAAATAAAAGTAAGTGAGGGGAAAACTAATATGACATTTAAAAAGTGAAAGATGAAAGATAATCATATCCTGAGATCTAAGAAATTGTTATTAGAAAGTAGGGATCAGGGCAAAGTGTTCTAAAAATTTTGTACAAACTTCAATTTTTTTCCAAATTTCCAAATTTATTTTCAGATTTATTTTATTTCATGTTTAATATAGATTTCTTTACATCCACTCCATGATAAATTTTGGGTTTTTTGGTTGCTGAAAATTAGGGTAAGAAAATCCTACTTTAAACTTGCAAATCTAACCACTAATTAATAGATTTGATTGAGATTTTTATTAAATTTAATTAAATAGGTTATCTGTCTAACCCATTTGATTAAATAAGATGAGTTATGGTTGAAATTCTCAACGTGTTTACAATCCATCAATCCACTTATATTTTTTAAATATTATTTTATTTATATTTATTCATTATTATTTTTTTATTTCTTAAAAAATGTGGGTTAATAATTGTTATTGGAGATCCAGTGAAAATAAAAGTAGCATTTGCATATAATTTAGAAATTAAAATTTTATCATGTTATATGGTTTACTTGATTATGTTTGTATTATGGACTTATTGTATTTGTATACATGACTAATTATTAAAATTATAAAACTTAATGTAACTTTATTTAAAAGATTATGTAATTTTAAGGTTATTTTTATAATTTTAAATGGAACTTAGGCTAACTTAAAGGAACGAACATGAATAACCCTCGTTCATGTTCGTTCGGTTCGTTTACAATTCTAGATAAAACACTTGCATCCAAAAAACATGAAAAAAAATTACATTAGGTTTTTGTTTGTTGATAATCTTATAAGGAGTGATATTAAATCTTCGATGAACAAATGAATGATTTTGAGTAAAACAAGCACTCAAAATGGCTTTAGCCCACTAGTATAAAGAAAGTTTTGCAAAATTGATTGTTCTTGTTGCTTCACACACATATCGATTTCTTCATTCAACAACTTCATTTTGTTGTGGAGTATATGATGTTGAAAAGTTGTGAGTAATTCCATTATCTTGTAAAAATCCCACAAGAATTTGATTCTTAAATTTAGTTCCATTATCACTTCGAATCCTTCGAACACTTTTCTTCAAACTTACTTCAATATACGTGATGAATTTAATCATCTCATATGCAATTTTTGATTTATGTCTAAGAAAATAAACTAATGTAAAATGTGAAAAATCATCAAATATAACAATTTTGTTTGCCACTATTATATTCAACAAAAGATGGACCACATAAATCAATATGCATCAACTCTAAAGGTTCAACTATCTTCGAGTCGATAGTTAATGAATGTCCTTGTCGATGTTGTTTCCATTGTTCACAGGTTACACATAAAGAATCATTATCAAATTTTAGAACGGGTTAACCTTGAACCAAATCATTGAGAACAAATTTATTGATATTTTTGAATTTAAATGTGAAAGTCTTCTATGCCATAAATAACTAAGGCCTGAAGTTGCTTTGGATAACAAGCATATCGAAGGAGCTCAAACAATGAGTTTCACGTCGAGAGTAAACATTTTGCCTTTGCGTTTAGGTTTTAACAAAAAATTATTTGAAATTTTGTTCGATATAACACTACCATCATCATCGAAGGTCACTTCACTTCCTGTAAGTACAACTAATTGAGAAACATTAATCAAATTATGTTGTAATCCTTCAATATAAGCAACTTGTTTTATTGTGAAAAGTCGATTCATGATTTTCCTATATCCTTTGATTGAACATTTTTATTGTTACCAAACTTCACTTCTCTAGCATTGGCTAATTTCCGATAATCTTTAAGATTGTCCTTTTTTCTAGTCATATGGCGCGAGCAACCACTATCAATTGGAATCATATTGTTTGTAACACATAACTTATAGTTAAACAGAGGTTTAGTGTCACACCCCCGACCAAGGATGAACACGCCAAGAGTGCGACTAAGTTCATGGATCACAAATAAACTGAATATATAGCACAAGTGTAACGATAAACAAAACAAAATTTATATTCCATCATTAAGGTTTGAATACAAGGTTCTTACAAGTGATAATAGATAGTAGTTGCCTTAAACAAGTAGGCAGATAACCAAAAACTAGATAACTAAGTCGTCTTAAATCCACGGAAAATATTCCGTCTGAAAGCTTGTCTAAGGATCCCCTGAGAATACATGTAAGTTTGAGGGTCAACACAAAGGTTGGTGAGTGTCACATGTTTTCTTCTTAACCGTAGTATAATACTTTTAAAAAGTGTAAAAAGTATTGCCTTTGTAAGAAAACTGTGTTTGCAACAATGTTTGATAAAGATAGGAATATAAACCATGGTTGTTAGGTAATAAAAGTCTAATCCATTTTATAGTAACAAATTTGTACGGATAGACATATAAACTATGGTTGCTAGGTAATACACATCTAGTCAAGTTTATAGTAATGGTATGGTACGAATAGACATATAATTTATGGTTTCTAGGTAATAAACATCTAGTCAAGTTTATAATAACGAATTGATACGAATAACAAATGAACAAACATATGGATAAGGTTATTTGTCAAGGTTGTATTTAACAACCATAAATACAAATAAATAGACAGATGAATATACGGATAAAGTTATCTACCAATGTTGTATTTAACAACCACAGATACGGATAAACATATATATGACAAGTATATTTGACAAGCATAAAAACGTATAATAATTGTTTAAACGATTTATATAACTTTGAGTACAAGAACATAAACGTGCCTAAGATACAAGCTTTATAACTCATATGAATATGTAAATCTATATATTTTTATGGATTTATGAGGTATATTGAAACTACCAAGTTGATAACCGTCTATACAGCCATAGAATATTTGTAGTTGGGATATATATGTTATTTTTATGAGTTGTATTATCTTAACAAATTAACATATGTAGATCTTGAAGTTTAAAACGATTTGGACTACTTAACATGGAAGCTTTTAAACGATTATTTCACAAGTTAGAAATGTGTTTACATAATCATGTCTATTTGAAAGATAAATATTACTTAATACACGTACTACCATGTATAGACGAGGGCCAGACATGAAACACCGAGGGCAGTACCATTTTGGCATTATAGCACTTTTGAAATCCAACAACCCATATGACTCTTCAAACCAGATTCACCGTACCGTAAAGTAGAAGCGTAATAATTAATATTTTGTATGATTTATATTGCTTAAAAACGGTGGTGTTATTTGTTTAAACAAAGTATTTAGAAAATAGATATATATACTAGATATACAAGTACCACATGTATTCCCCCCTCCCCCCCCCCCCCCCCACCGAAAATATGTAAAAATGGGGCCATAACACTCGCCTTGATGTGTGGTGAGTTGTTTTTGAGTATTGGAATCCGAGAACCGAGATGTGTTGTTGTGGATTTGAACTTCCGGGATTAGCTTAATTTTGAAAACGGTAGAGGTGGTCGGAGGCTTCTATAATGATGGGAGACCTCCAAAGTGGTAAAATTTCGGAGGTGTAGAAGTTCCGAGGTGCAAAAGTTTCGAGGTTGGTTGAAATTCCGAGGCTATAGAAGTCTGAGATGAAAAATGACCCAAAGTTGGGAAATTCCGAAACTAGTCGAACTTCCAAAGGGTTAACTACCGTCTATTTCCTTTTGTTACTATATGTTTGACTTGTCAAATTTGGGGTATATTGGTCATTCTTTATTTATTCCCCTTATTTTATATTAACAAAAGAGAGTATGTACGTATTCATCGCCATACGGATAATATCGAGCCTGATTTGCATTTATAGTCCTTAAAATTTGTGTGTCAATTCAATTTCCCTCCTCGTTGACTGAGGATCGAGAACCATAATCTGATTACCAAGGTTGTTAGCTTTGATCAAGCGACTTTCGTAATGAATTCATATACCAATGTGGCACTTAAGGTTGTCAAGCACGTCATTCGACCCAAGGATGGTTTATGGTACATAATTTTGTTTTTGATCATTTACTTGATTTTCTTACAAGAAATGATACCTTTTGAAGATTGTTTTTTTCTCTTGTGTTGAAGATGGACACCCTATACTGTTTACCATCAAGCTACATCATGGAGGTGTGTTCACAAAGTTTCCAAATGTCACCTACATTGAAGGTACTATGACGTACGTTGATATGGTGGATATATAAGAGTTTTCTATTCACGAGATGGATGCGATTATGAAAGGGTTAGGATACTCAGTTCCTCCAATTATCTGCTATCATGTTAGAGTGCCAAAGGGAGACATGCATTTTGGGTTACGGCCCCTAGGAAATGATGATGATGTCCTCAGTCTTGCCCAGTATGTGAAGGAGCATAAACTGATAAGGGTTTACACTGAACATGGTATGACTAACTTTCTTACTTACTTTATGGATCCTAAACCTGTAAGAAAAGTTATTATTGAGAAATTAGAGGAGATTGAGGAACATGAAACCCCCCAACTGATAACCAACCCAGTGGCATGCCACAAACATGCATACAACCTGTTATAGCCAATGAAGCTACTTTAGCCTTGTCGATATCTCCTGAATATAATAAGAAAAATGAATTTATTAAGGACAAACCATTGTCATCATGTATTAAGTAATTGGTCATGGATGATGTTCGTGTTGATAGGATTGTTGGGAATACGGATGATGTAGCTAATGATATTGACCAGAGATTTAATGAATTTGATGAGGAAACTAATGACTTTGTTCTTGGGTTGTACCAAAAATTTTTACAGTCTAATGAACAAAATGTAGATGATGAGGTTCATAAAGGTGAGGACAATGCAGTTAATAAAGAAGTCAATGAATAAGAGAATCATAAAAGAAATGAATGAATGATGAGAGATTTTGTAGTTGATGATGAAATTGAAGATAAGACAGAGACTAATGAAGAAAATCATGAAAGAGTGATGAGAGTGAGGACAGTGATGACAGTGAATTCTAGATGGATGAAGACAACATAATCCCTGATGTAGAAGTAGTTATGAGGGATTTTTACATGAATATCGATCTTGAAGTAGAATTTCTTGAAAAAAGATTATCAAAGCATAGAGATAATGAGAGTGATGATGACATTGAAGAATTGGATGTTATAGATAATGATCAATGGGATTCACTGGATGAGGGTTCTGATACATATTGGAAAATGAGAGCTGTAATAAAGGAATTGGGGAAGGAGATAAGGTGTTCTCAAGGCGAGATACACAAGGTAACTTTTAGGATATGAAAAAAATATAAAATTGAGGAGTTAAAGGAAAAGATACAATTGCATGCACTGGAATGAGAAGGAATATATTCTTCAAGAAAAACGACAAAATGAGGTTAAGGGCACTCTATAAAGGAAGTATAGCCTTTAATGATAGTCATGTGGGTGAACTTGCCCCTTGTCCTTGGGTGATACAAGGTTCTAGGTCAAATGTAGATAATACTTGGTTCATAAAAACTTACAACCATGAACATAGATGCCTCCAGACAAGAAAAGTTAGATCTACAACTACAAAGTTTATCTCTAAACAGATAATGGATCAGATTGAATCCAACCTAACAATCCCAGTCAGAGCTCTTCAAGAATCACTTCAAAAGGAATATCAAGTTGGATTCTTTATTCACAAGGTATCTAGGGCCAAATCTACTGCAAAAAAACTTGTCCAGGGGGATTACAAAAAGTAGTATGATGTTCTCCGAGATTACATCTTGGAGTTACAGTCTACTAATCCAGATATAATTGTAAATTTAGAGTTTGATTCTGAACCCAACCCAAGTACTACCTCAAGAAGGTTTAAAAGGATGTATGTGTGTTTGGGTGGAATGAAGAAGGGGTTTAGCGCTTACCTGAGGGATTTTCTAGGTTTTGATGGGGCATTTATGAAGGGCCCTTTCCCAGGAAAAATTTAAACTGCAGTTGGGGTAGAGTCCAACAATGGAATAAACCCCCTAGCTTATGCCATTCTTGAGACTGAGAACACTGACAGTTGGAAGTTGTTTATTGAGTGTATCGGAGATGATCTGGACCTATATGAAAACTCAAACTTCACATTTATAAGTGACAGACAAAAGGTTTGTAATTTGTTGTTTATATTTGACATATTTGGATGTACTATACTAACTATGTTTTACTACCTTCACAGGGACCACATGCTCCCATTTCTTAGTTATTCCCATGTGCTGAGCACATTTTTTTTTTTGTCTCAGGCATATACATGACAATATGAAAAAAAAACATGGAGAACTAATGAGTACAAAGAACACTTGTGGAATTGTGCTACAACAACAATAGTACCAGAGTTCAACTATAGGATGAGGGAATTCAACTTGTATGATATAGAAGCTTATAATTGGTTGAATTAGATTCCCCCACAACACTAGGCAAGAATCCACTTCATAGGTATATACTTGAGGTTCCAAATTTACCCCTTAGTTGTAGTATTTCTTAGTATATGTTTGATCATGACATTATTATGGTGTTTTCAGGTAGAGCAGTATCAAATATGCTTCTGAATAATATTTGTGAAGTTTTTAATAGCAAATTGATTGAAGGAAGGGACAAGCCACTGATAACCTGCTTGGAGTACATCAGGGAGTATATGATGAAAAGAATATGTAATGGCATAAAGGTGAAAAACAAGTGTGTTGGTCCACTAACCCCATCTACAACAAAGATCATGGACAAGAATGTCAATTTGGCATCTCAGTACATAACTAGGTGAAATGGGCCAGATAAATAGCAAGTGTAAGGGCCATGACAGGATCAACATGTTGTTGATATTATTGAAAGAGTATGTAGCTGAAGGAAGTGGGAATTAACATGATTCCCTTATAAACATATCATTGCAGGCCTAAATGACAAAGCAAATAATGGTGAGAAAGTTAGAGTGTTGCACACTTATGCCCACAGGATGCACTGGCTAGAAACATGGAAAGCAACTTATGTGTACAAGGTAGAGCTTATTAAAGGTCAAGCAATGTGTCCTATGAGTGAATGTCCAATTAAAATCACCCCTCCTCTACACCATAATCAGCCTAGAAGGACCAAGAAAAAGAGGAAGCAATCTATTGAGGAGAAAAGCCAGATGAAGGGAGACAATGGTGCTAGTGGGGGTGGGAGTCAAATTCATGTTGCTAATAGGAGTGGAAAGCTTACAAGAAAGTTTATCAAAGTAACTTGCAGAAAGTGTAAAAATAAAGGGCACAATGCTAGAACTTGCAAAGTCCAAGGGGGTAACTGATAAGATTTCAAGGGATTTTGATGTATGTAGGGGTATAAGTGTCTTTTTGGGATAATGTCATGTTTATGTGTATTGTATATTTAGTACTTGAGGTGTTTTGGGGTTTAAGCAATTTGGATGTTCTTTTTGGTACTTGATCGTGTGTACTGTGATGTATGGGAACAATTTAGTCTGGATTTGATGTAATGACTTATATCTTGATGTTATTCTCATGTATAATTTCATGTTGTAGAACTTGACCAATGTTCCCTTCTAAATAGAACATACAATTGTAATTGATAATCTGTAAACCACAAACAAAATAGAATGGTCAAAATGTACATACCAAATATAATTACCATTTGATAATTTGTTGCAAAACATGTCTTACATTGCTTACATTTTAACCACAAAAGACTACCACAGAGTACTGCTAAAAAGATTACACTGATTAAACAAAATACTACCCAAAACATTAAAACACTACCCAAAACATTACACTTTAATCTACATCTTATAAACCACAACAAGCATAAACAACATCCAACTGCATAACAGGTAACATTTGAGTCTTGTGTTTTGTGACTTCAATTTGTTGATTGTCCTCACCAGCTCGGGTATAATAGCTTTTGAATGTTCACACATTGGACCATCAAACCACCCGATAAATCGATATTTGGATCCTTTCAAAATTGAAGAAACAAAAGAAGATCGTAACATGTAATAGGAGATTTATGCTGAAATCCAAAAAAAAAAAATTTACGTACCTCAGTAGGGCATCCCCAGAAGGACCGACCTGGATTTTTGTCAATCCATGCAGTGGAAACTATGGCCATTTTACCACATATACAAAGCACCATTTTTTATTTCAATTTCTTGAAGAAGAAGAAGAAGAAGAAGAAGAAGAAGATAATCGATTTGTTGAAGAAGAAGCAGATGAGAACGACAACAAATAAGGTTAAGGGTTTGATCTTATAAGACTCTTTTGTTAATATAAAATAAGTGGAATAAATAGGGAATGACCAAAATACCCCCAATTTGACAAGTCAAACATATATTAACGGAAGGAAATAGACGACAGTTAACCATTTGGACCAAAGATGCAACAAATTGAAAACTTTGGACCTGTGGTGCTAGTCCAAACTTTTTAGACCAAAGTGATAGTTTTGAGCAAACCACATGGACCATTTGTACAGTTTTGTCCCGTTTTTATCAAATATATAACGGTGCTGTTAAAAAAATCCCCAAAAGAGAGTTTTTCTCTCCTAGTTTTCACCCACCACAAAAATGTTTTTCTTTTCCCCCTTTTTATATTAAATGAATTTGAAAAAAAAAATATAAATGAATAATAAAAGAATGTTAAAAATATAATGGATTTAGGCTATCAAATCTTGATTAAATTCGAACTGGTTTATTTGAGAACTGTTTTTAGCACACTAGTTTCTAATGTTTTTTGATCAATTAAGTACTTTGTATCATAATGGTATAGTTCAATACATATCGATTGAAGGCAAACAGGCAACAAGCTGCGCCGCTAGCCCTTTCTGGATAGCAAAACCATTTCTTTTGAAAACTACATTTGTGGATCTAGGAGATATGACATTAGAATGCATGACCCGTTGGACTCTATTGAGGAGCTCTACCGCCTCTGGTGTGAGAAAACCAAATTTATCGAATGCAAAAGGAACAAACACATGTTGATTTGCTATACATGCATTCTCGTGCTTTACCATTTTGCACGCAACGGCTTTCAATGCGGCATGCCCAGCTGTGAAACCCCCGCTCCCTAAACCAACGAGAGGAGAGACCCCAGTAAGATCCACGCACACATGCTTCCCTCCTATCCATCCAAAGAACAAAATGTCAGCCAGTCTAAGTGTGGACCTTCCATCCTGCAGGTCCATCAAAAAGTTCACTAACGCTTCTTTCTTCACAGAAATACCAGCAGGCCGACAAGCATCAAAGAGAACATCCTGAACCACATCATGTCTATACTTGAAACCAGGGAGCTCTCTACAATGAACCGCGTGTTCCCCAAAGGTATCCAAACATGCATTGCGACAAACTAGACATATCTCGTCAATTGGAAATATGGGAATCATGAGGCGGTAACGAAGGATAGTTCGGTGCTCCACAGGAGACATATGTTGGCCAAGACCATCAATAAGGATAGTTAGCAGAAAATCCTGAGCATGAGGCGCCCGCAGACACTCAAAGACTGATTTCTATCTGATAGTCATGTCAAAGTCGACTTCCATATCTTGGACGATTTTGCTAAAAAGGGCACACACCAAAGCTTTTTGGGATTTACTGGGGGGGGGGGGGGTGTCCTTATTAGTGAAACCGTTATAGTCAAATCCTAGAATCGTATTGCGAAGCCGAGTCATAGCACATAGGTAATTCGAGTCCATACCACATACGCCACTGTCACGTAAGATGTGGTCTTGTAATGCCTAAGATTGGGCCCTCGAGGCTACAAATGCGTAGGAGGAAACCTTGTAGGCCGAGTACAAACCCAAACCACCGAAACGAATACGTAAGGAAGCCAAGCGCTACTGAATGTCTCCAAAGAAGGGGCCTCCACATACCACCATATCCTCGATAGACCTGCGCAATCCTTTGTCGCAGAATAATGCTGCCTCTTCTATGTGTATCGACTGGCATGTCCTTAAACCAAAGAAAAGTTTTGCAATGCCCATACATGATCGAAGCAAAAAGAGCTCACTCTGCGGGTCATATAGTTGTGGAAGAAGGCCCATCAAAACAACAACATTGACCGCTCTCTTCATGGCCAGCCCGCTAATAAACTCTGCATCTCTGCTCGGATAAAGATTTGTGCAACCTTTTAAACCTTAACCAAGGAACCGAGGGATCATGGCAGATCCATGCATATCAACAGAAAATATCATTTCATTAGACATCGGGTAAAAGTGGGACTCCTTGTAGTAAAGAGGGTATCATCAGAAGAGAACCTAGTAGATCCCCTTACGAAGGGACTGAGTAGGGTTAAGCACTTGCAGCACACTAGAAGCATTGGGCTGAAGGACGATATTACTTTTTGTGATTAGATAGCCTTAGAAACTTGTAATAGATAAATTGTAATTAACATTTGATGATTAAATAAATGAGTATTATTTATGAGTAAAGTTAGTATCTTGTGTTAATTATTTATTATTGTTTCGCTTTGCATGTTTTGACTTGTAAATAATAAGATTATTTAAACTATCCACAGTCGTTCATACGTTGGAAGTAGGTATAAAAGAAGACTGTCATGAATTGACGTGTAGATTGTCTAAGTGTTTAGACATAACAAAAGTTTGTTGGAATGTTCATAAGTGCTCTTGAAATAAGATCCGAGTATTGGATTAAGTAAGTTCACGCTCACATGAATCACTTCATGGAATTTAATCACGAGTGATTGTGAGATGATAATATCATATTGTCTTTAAACCTAGATATACGAGTTGATTGTGCGTTGATAATACGTAAACGCATCAAAGTTCTCAAATATTTTGATATTTATATTGAACCTTTTTTTTAACTAATCCATGTAATAATGGATCTCACAAGTAATGTGTTTATATAATAAAATATGTGGCCTATTTAATATCTTTTTATCATAAATTATCCACAAGCATATTATAATATCCGGAATGACAATAAAATAATAATAACTAAGAAATTTTTTATTTTATCAGTACATATAATCTTTTTTTCAGCCACATCACATATATTTAAATAACAAACAAATAAATATGTTTCATTTTCATCTTCTTTTTGACCTCTATAAATATGAAAATCCGTTTGATTACTCTCCATCAAACCACAATCTCACCATCTCCTCTCTTCCACTCCCTCGCCATCTCTCATCATCCAATCTCCAAATTCCAACGTTTTCACACTCTCTCCTGCCAGATTCATTCATCTTAACTTATACTCGTCTCTACATAGTTTCACTTTGTTGGTGAATAATTAGAGAAAAAAGTTGATTCACTTTTCTTAGGTTTTCTATAGACAAGAGACGAATCGAGTGATAATGGAGAGCAAGAAGCAGCAATCAGGAAATCCTCCGTCTTCATCATTCACAGAAAATCTCTTCGGCCCTAAGGACGGCGGCTCCTCCTCCTCCTCTGGCCGTTTTGGCTCTGTTTTTGGCCCTTCTTCCACTGTACTCCTCCATGTTTTCCGATTCATCACCTCTATTTCTTCATGCATCACCTTAATTTCTGACAGATTCTATCTAGCAATTCATAACGATTTAATCCCCGATTACAACAGATTGTGTTAACAATGAAATCGTTGAATTGTTTCTGTCATGTCGTTTAATTCCAGTTTTTCAATTTCAGGGCTTAGTAAAGGACACATCTCACTGCAGCAAGTACAGAGGAACAGAATCATCGAATAACCAGGATCCTAATGGAAGCAGTGCTTCAAGGGGGAATTGGTGGCAAGGTGTTGCTTCTTTTTGGCTATCATTCAAATATACAAAAAGGATTATTATATATTTTTTTGAAAATTAACCAAATATTTATTGTTTTTGTTTTTACAGGATCTCTCTACTATTAAAAAGCCTACTATTTCTAAAAGAAGATGTAATGTAGGATATGGCAAAATAGTAAAAATATCAAAGAGTTAAGGGCCTTTGTAATGCCTTCATCTTTGTTATCGTCTTTGTTTTCTGTTTTTTTGTCTAGAGTTGTAATCCATGAAAGAAGACTATTTAATTAGTCTTGTTAGTTTTAAAATATTTGAGATCGATATTTTGCTTTGAAATCCAATATTTAAGAATTTTGTGACAAGAAAAATAGAACTAAAAGCTAACTAATCGAGTGGTTTATGGAAATTATGAAAATGGAAACTCTAAACATATATGTTTATGTAAACTAAAGAACTTTGTAAGGCCGGAAGAGATTTAGCTGGAATTACAACTTCAAAATAAATCAAAAAATTCAAAATTTTCCAATGGTTAATAATAGTAAAGTGTTCTAGAAAGTTTGTACAAACTGGGAAAATTTTCCAAG